GAGGCAATGCAGCGTGGAGGCAAAAGGTCATGAGACTGAGAGGCAACCGATGAGAACGGCCGGCATTTATTGGGCACCAAATATTATGTTCATGCTCAAGGCTCTGTTCTGACATTTTAAATGTATGTACTTGTATGTATGTGTGTGTGTCTGTGTACACATGCACACACGCCTATGTATATATATGTGTGTATGTCTCTCACACACACACTCATTTAATCCTCACGACAACCCTTTTGGGTAGATGCTATTATTATTCCCATTTTACAGAGGTTTATCGAGCCCTTTCCACCATTTCCCATTTAATCCTCACAAGTCTGTGAAGTAGGGTACTGGCCCATTTTATGATGAAGCGGGGGCTTGGAGTGACTAAGTGGCCAGTACAAGGTTGCCCAGAGCCAAACTTCAGACCCAGCTGGCTGACTCCAAAGCCAGGCCTTTACCCCTAAGAAGACTGTTGTGGGGGACGCCCAGCAGTCACTCTGGGACCCCCGTATCACCCATGTGGGGCCATGTGGTGAAGGGTCTAACCAATGCAAGTTTCTGTGTCATTGTTGTTTCCTCCTGGAAGCCTTCCCTGGTTCACAGGCTGGGCTATGGCCTCTGGTTTTTGGTCCCACAGTCCTGTGCTCTCCCCATTAGAGCATGTATTACACTGTGTTATTACTGTCCATTGTCTTCTTGATTGTGAGCCTCAAGAGGACAAGGATCATGTCTGGCCATGCTTGTTCACCACTGTATCCCTGACGGCTGCCTCAGTGCCTGGCTTTTAAAGGCTCCTCACAAAATGTTTGTTGAATGAATAAGAGAACTGAATGAATAACTTCATATAATTACTTGCCCAAAGGCCTGGAGATTGGAACTGACAGCACCCCCCTCCCCTGACCGTTCTTTGTAGGAAGTGTTCCTAACGCCCTTAGGGGCAGGGCAGGGGTACCAAAGCTGTCTGTGAGTCCTTTCCTCATCTGTCCCCAGGTATATGGGGCATCCAATGTGGAGCTCATCACCCGGACACGGACAGAGCATCTTTCAGAACAGCACAAGGGCAAGGTCAAAGGTAATGAGGCAGAGGTGGATGGGGGAGTGGGGAGGAGGAACCAGCCCCACTCAAGCGCCTCCATCGGTATTTCCTCTGACATCCTAGCAAGAGCCAGGATAGCTTATTCAGGCAAATAGGTTTCAATTCAAGTGCCAAATCCTAGTGATTGGTAGTGGTTGCCTAGAGTGCTGTTAAGATTCTAAGACAACATTTGGGCTCAACGAGAAGGAATGCTACAATTGATTACTAATATCTGCATTGGATTTGGGGCAGGGGGGAATGTCATGTACACTGTTTGTTGGCCATTCTAGTCTAGTGGGACATACCCTAGGCAGAAGGACAGGGGCCCTGCCACTGATTCTCTGTGCCCACTGATACTACAACTGACTCTCTGGGCACCAGTTAGTCTGTCTAAAGTGGATAGACATAATTCCCACCTCACAAGAGAACAAAATGAAGTTAACATGGATGCACCTGAAGGAAAACACATACACATGCATACCCCAAAATACTTTTGGAAGTTTCTCCTGAGCCCCAGGCCTACTTTTATTCCAGCTGTGCTTATGGTGGTCCTGCCCCTGCCCCTTGGAGTCCTCAATCACCTTCAGGTGAAGGTGCCTGGGTGTGTGGTGTGGGCGAGCAATCCTCCCTCCCCTCAGGGACCAGCCTCCTCCCTGGGTCTTGGGTGCTGTCACTCCTGAGGACTGCAGTGTCCTCTGAAATGCCATATTTCTTGCAGGCTGTAAGACACCTCTGCAGTCCTTCCTGGGAATTGCTGAGCAGCATGGGGGCCCCCAAAATGGGGTGAGTGTGTTCAAGGGGTACCCCTCTGTGGAAGGGTGTGGATGGGGATCAGGAGGAAGTCTGGGAGGCACCCTGTGGGGACTTCCTTTCTTTCCACAATGCCCAAGGCCCTGTCAGCTCCACAGTGGCGGGGGGACAGATCCGGGGCTTGTAATACCAAGTGGCTGGCCTGGCCTCAGGGACTGAGAAGGGCTCATAAGCCCCTCCCTGTGTGGTACAGACCCTGATCACTCAGACTCTGAGCCAAGCCAACCCCACTGCCATCACCGCAGAAGAGTACTTCAATCCCAACTTTGAGCTTGGCAACCGTGACATGGGCCGACCCATGGAACTGACCACCAAGACACAGAAGTGAGGCCCCATGGTGGTGCTGGGGAGGGGTGGGCAGGGCTGGGAGGCCATGGCTTCTACAATGTCCCTCACCCCTTGGGATCTGGGGTGCAGGTTCAAGGCCAAGCTGTGGCTGTGTGAGGAGCATCCCCTGTCCCTGTGTGAGCAGGTGGCCCCCATCATTGACCTCATGGCCGTCAGCAATGCACTTTTTGCCAAGCTCCGGGATTTCATTACCCTGCGCCTGCCTCCAGGATTCCCTGTCAAGATTGGTGAGGCTCCACCCCCAGTTCCCTTGAGCAGCTACTGGGAGGATGGGGCTTAGAGGAGGTAAAGAGTGGGTACCTAAGGTGTGAGGGAGTGGGTGGTGGGGCCTGATGGTTTCTGCATCCTCAGAAATCCCGATTTTCCACATCCTCAACGCCCGTATCACCTTCGGGAACCTCAATGGCTGCGATGAGCCGGTGCCGTTGGTGCGAGGCAGCCCCAGCAGCGAGACCCCTTCCCCAGGCAGTGACTCCTCCAGTGTCAGCAGCTCCAGTTCCACGAGTGAGACCCTGTCCCGCCCTGAGCCCGCCCTCACTTCCCCTCCCCACCGAGCACTTCCCCGGGAGTGGCCGGGAGGGGAGGTCTGGTCCACTCTGACCCACAGCCCGGCGCCCCCAGCCTCGTGCCGCGGCTGCGAGATCTCCCCCGCGTTGTTCGAGGCCCCACGCGGCTACAGTGTGCTGGGCGGCCAGCGAGAGGCCGCCACCCGCGACGACGATGACGACCTGCTGCAGTTCGCCATCCAGCAGAGCCTGCTTGAGGCGGGCAGTGAGTATGACCAGGTGCGTCCCCACGGCCGCACGGGGCCACCGGACTGCGGTGCCGCCACAGCTAACTGGCTCACCCCCGCCTCCGCCCAGGTCACCATCTGGGAGGCGCTAACCAACAGCAAACCGGGCACTCACCCCATGTCCTACGAGGGTCGCCGACAGGACAGGTCAGTGCCCGCCCGTCCGGAGAGGGTTTGGAGACGCCTATTCCCCCACCTCCCATACACGTGCACAGAGAACACCAGGGCCCTGTCACGGTGCGTATGGACACGGCCGCATGAGCACCCCTCTTGGCCCAGAGGAACCGTGGTACCGCCATCAGGGACCCTACTGGTTTCAAGATGGCGTCTACCACCACCACCCGTTCCTGACTCAGGGGTGGGTGAGCAGTACTTCAAACGCGGCCTTAGAGCGTTCACAGACCCTCGCCAGACAGAATGTCGGGGCTGGGGTTCTAGAAGACTGGGAGGATGGGCTTTGTAGGAGCTGGCATCAGCTCCTACCGGGTGGGAGGGAGCCAGGGAGGTGACGCGGGACTCATCGCTTCCACTGGAGAGTGTTGAGGCCTGCGCTGTCCCGGGGCCTCCACACCGTCTCCCGCCCCACATACGGGCGCCCGGAGCCCTCGACGTATCTTACCTGCCTCCAGGAGCGCTCCGCCCACGCCGCAGCGCCAGTCCACAACCCCCGCGGGCCTGGCGTCGGTCCCCAGCCCTCGGCCCAGCCCGCACCCAGGCCAAGGCGGCCACGTGTTCCGGAGCTACGACGAGCAGCTGCGGCTGGCCATGGAGCTGTCTGCGCAGGAGCAGGAAGAGCGGCGGCGGCGCGCGCGCCAGGAGGAGGAGGAGCTAGAACGCATCCTGCGGCTCTCTTTGACTGAGCAGTAGCGCCCACTGCCGGGCCCCTTGGCCACGCCCCGCGGGACCCGCCCCGGAGCGAGAGTCGCCCCTCCTGCGCGCTCTCCGAGCTGAGTCCGGAGACCCGAACCGCCGCCTCGGGGGCGTAGCGGCGCACCCGGCACCAGATGGGGAGGGGTTCGGCCCGGCCGTGGGGTACCTTCCTGGAGGCAGCTGGCACGGCTCCCCTGCTTTGCTGTATCCTGACCCCACCCCACTCCCCTGGGCTCTGACCGATCCAAGGGCGGAGCCAAGCCGTTTGAGGGGGAGACGGTCCTTAGAGGAGCACTGTCTCCATCCCTTGCTCCTTCTGGCCGGTCCTCCTTTCTGCTCACTGACCCCACTCCAGGACACTGCCCGTGAAGCCTTTGCATCTCCGCTCTTCACCCCTGGGGGGCAGCTGAGCTCCCCACGTGCTGTGTGGCTGCTTCGTCCTAGACACAAACCAGCACGTCAAGGGCCCAGCTCCTCCCCCACCCCGGCATTTCAGCGTCAAGTGCACTTAGCGGGGTGCCCGGCTCCCCCAGCCCCCACACCCCTCCCGGGTCTCAGGGTGGTCCCAGCTTCTCTTTGGGTGACCAGAGGTTGGAGTCCCCATCCCCAAGGCACGTTTTTGTGATCAGGGAGGGTGCCCAAGGTGGCCCCGGGTCTGGGCAAGGCCTGGCTCCCTCGTGGTGTCTTGGCGAATGGGGAGGCATAGTAGGCGTGGGGCAAACACCAGACTGGACACAGGGGTCGCCCAGGGCCCTGGCACCACCATCCATCCCTTCCCACCAGCTGCTGCTAGCCCTCTGTGGTTGTGCATCCTACTTTCCCTCCACCCAGGGGCTGACTCCGAAACCCTTCATCCAATGGTGCTAACCCCCGGCTCTCCCCTGCCCCACCCCACCACCCAGAGAAGCACAGACCCCGCCAGGGGCAGGGGCCCACTGCACACCCTTGTCTGGGTTCTCTCGGACTGGCCTTCCTGGCTCAGCCAGTGAGGCTTGGAAGGGACACGAAAGCGATGGAAGAAAACAACAAAGGGAAGCTGTTCCTCTCACCCTCTTCCCTGATGCCAGGGGCACCAGACTGATTCTGAGGCACAAATAAAAGAGGCTTCAAACCCGAGGCTTTTCCTACCTGCCTTTACTGGGGAAGAACGCCCATCTGCGGGTTGAGGGTTCCTTCTGAACCTCAGTGTGGGGAGGGCTCTGAAGTAAGAGGATGTCTGGTGGGTCCTGAGCCGAGTGTTGCATTTGTCAGGGCCCCCAGGAGTCTGGTGGTGGCATTTACAGAGGCTGGGGGTCTAGCATCCCCACCCATGCAGGAGGCACAGACTGAGCACTTGGTAAAACGTTTCATTCAGTACGTCTTGTTTTCCTCCTGGAGTCAAGGCCGCAACAGAGGGCTGGTGTGTGTGTGTGTGTGTGTGTGTGTGTGTGTCTGGGAGGGGGGAGGTGTGAACCTGCTTCCTCATGCCAGTTCTCTGGTTGGTTCTCCTGCGGGAGTGCCGCGAGGAAGCCGTCCTCTCCCCTGCAGATGGAGAGAAGGAAGAGAGCCCTCTGCCGTAGACTGCTGGGTGTAGCCCGTGGGTCCGGCTGTACAGCCAACGTTTGTGTATGTCCGTAGAACTCGGGTGACGCCCGTTGAGTTTACCACTCAGGGTGGTGGAGTCAAGTGAGCTGATTAGAGGGAGAAGCGTTGTAATTTTCCCCAGCCAGTCTGGGGAGACCCGTCAAATCGCTACCCCTTTGAGGTCAAGCCCAAGCTCCCCAACATCCCCAAGCATTGCGCTAATACTAAGCACTTTCCCTGCCGTGGGCGGGAAGGGAAACAAAGGGGACACTGCCTGCCGTGCAGCACCATTGTTGAGGCCCCCGTCACCCTGAGCCTTCCAAGGCCAGCTCCTGCTGAGTCCTGTACGAGGCACACAGCCCGGTAGGCGCCAGACGGACGCGAGTGTCCGCAACGCTTCATTTGTCCAGGACTCCCGCGAGGGGCGGAGTTCCCCCCCTAGTCCCGGCCCAGGCCCAGAGAGGCGGGGTCCAGAGGACCCAAAGCCGGGGCGGCGCGGGAGTGCTTGCGCTCCGCCCCACTTTGCCCTCCCGGCTTGGAGCTTCCCCGGCGCGATGCGCTAGTCCGTGCCGTCCACCAGCTCGCACAGCATGTTCTCCAAAGACGTAATGCGCTGCTCCTGGGCCTGCACCTGCTCGCGCAGGGCCTTGATCTCCTCCAGCAGCGTCTCCAGGGTGTGCTGCTGTTGGACGCAGAGGACGGAAGAGGCGGCGTTGGGCGGGGTGCGGTAGGGGGATGTGAAGATTGGGCCTGGGTGGAGCAGGGCGGGACCTTACCGACAAGGGGGCGTCGCTGGCTGACTGGCTGCGGCGGGGGCCGGGGGGCGGGCGCACGTCCAGGATGTTGCGCTTGGTGACCCGCAGCTCGCGGTGCTTGGGGGGCATGTAACCGTCCCTCAACGAGATGAGCACGGGTTCGGCGTCCTGGCCGGATAGCCATTCATCCGCTTCTAGGGCCGGTTCGGGGCCCGGCGTATCTGGGTAAAGGTCGTCTTGGAACAGGTCTGACTGCAGGTGTAGGAGGACACGAGAACGAGCAGGGTGCCAGGCCTGCTCCGCTCCTTTCCGCCTCGGAGCCCTGCCCAACCCCTCTCCCAGCCACTCACCTTGCGGGGCACAGTCATGATGATGGGCTCACACTTTCTTTCGTGCAACTTGTAGAACCTATAAGGGAGCGGGGATCGGCACACGCTCAGGCTCCGACTCCCTTAACTTTTGCCCGGGACCAAGGGGTTAGAGGCCAACACTTGCTGAGCGCCTACCATGCATTGAACTTTAAACATCCTCTGATGGGGTGTTTATCATCATTAAGAGATGAAGAAACTGAAGTTCAGAGAATGTCAAGCTTGTAGTATTGGGGCTGGCACTGGAAACAAGCCCGTATGACACCCCCCACCCCCGAAAACCCACTATTTTCCAGAGACTACACTATTGGGGAAGCCCCCGAGTCTTCCCGGATGGGACCTGGGAACAGAAGCAGGTGAGCGGGAAGGGCAAGGCTGCTGACCGTGCGATCTCGCACTTGCTGACATCCAGTCCCCGCTTGGGCATGAAGCCCATGCCCCTCTGCGGCTCCTTGCTGCTGAACGTGTTCAGGTAATGCACGAAAGGTGGTTCCTCGGTAATCTCAAAGTACCGAATGCTGCTGTCTCCCTGCAAAACCAGTCGGTTCGGAGATATGCTGGGCGGGCCCCCGATATCTCGGTCCAGCCCCCTCTTCTCCCCTCCCGGCTGCGAGCACCTTGCCACACAGGTAGACGATGCTGGAGTCGGGATCGTAGAAGGGCAGTAGGACCCCGTTGCTTGTGTCCATCTCCTGCAGTGCCACTGGCTCCTCGAAGTTGTTCTGCCCGAGCACAGGAGGCGTGACCAGCCCTGTCCCGCTCGCCGTGCCGCTCTGGATCCCCTGAAGCTCCTTTACGCTTCGTGCCCTCCCCAAAACCCACGCATTCCCAAGGCAACTCTGGTGAAGAGAGCTGCAGACCCCACACCTGGACACCACTCTCGGTCCCCCGCACCTATATCCCCTGCACCGCCGCATGCAGTCACCGCAAACCACCCCCAGGGACTCGGCATCACCAGGCGGGGGCGCCAGCGTGGGCTCCTTCAGGCGACGCAGCAAAACTGGGCAGAGGGGTGGGTGTGAGGATGGCAGGCGCTGCAAGGAGGGCAGCAGCCTCCAGCCCTGTCCAGGTGGGCATGCCCTGCGGGTGGGGGGCGCCTGGCCCCTCTCCCGTGATGCCAGTCCCCGGGGCACACACCCCAAACGTCCAGCTGCGTTACCGGGTCCCACAGGCCCAGCTCTCGCTGGCTCATGCGGGTGAAGCCCGTGGTGAAGATATGACCCTGGCGCGTGAAGACGGCCCTCATGGGCCTCATTCCCTCGTGGGCCGCAAACCTCTCCTGGGGGGAGGGGGAGACAGGGAGAGGCGTCACCCAGCTGCCTGCCCTGGGGAGCCTGGAGGGCCGGGCAACCAACTTGCTGACTTGGGTGTGGGGGGCGGAGACAAAAGGGGTCTTAAATATTCAGTTTCCTGGCGTCTCCTGGCTGGCCCCAGGCCTGGAGAGCGCGGGCCTCTCTCTGCAGATTCTGAGCCCTTAAGCGCCCTCAGAGCAGGGGATGCCTGCGGGCTTCCCAGGGGAGCAAAGAGGCGCTTCCCAGACGGGAGCTCCCCGCTCCGCTTCAGCTGTCTTGGGCGCGGGCCACGGTCCGAGAGAGCGCTCCCAGCTGACCCAGCGAAGGAGCGAGCGCGTGCGCCCGGCGCGGCCTGGCCTACCGGGTCCCAGAGCGCGAGTTGCCGCTCACTCATCCTGCTGAAGCCGGTGCTGAGTAGCTTCCCGTCTGCGGTGAAGACGGCCCGCAGCGGGCGGGCGCCCTCGTGAGGCCGGGCTCGCTCCTGCTCGCGGGGTTAGTGGGTTAGAGTGCCCGCCGCGCCGCCCCGCCCCGCTCCGCTCCCGCCGCGCCCGCCGCGCGCACTCCGCGCAGACGTGCACGTGCCCCGCGCATCCAGCGCCCCGCCTTAAGTTGAGGCTGGTGAGGCAGGTGCCGCCGCCCTCCCTGGGCACCCAGCTGGGGCAAACAACGCGCGAGGGTTGCCTCCAATCTCCCGCCCAGCGGGTCAACTAGGTTGGAAAGGGGCCTGCCCGCGAGCCAGTGTCAGGCTCAGGCGCCGGAAGATGGCGCTGGGTGCCGGCTGGGAGGAGAGGGGTCCGGGGGCGCAGGTTCGGTTCATGCAGGTCTGGTGGGAGGGTAGAGTTTGCAGCTTCTCCCCTCCTCAGTCACAAATCGAGCAGCCCTCCTCTGAGCTTCTGAGATGCAGGGGAGGGGAGGGAACAGGAGTGGGACTGAGAATTGCGGGCTGGGGGCTTACTTAGGGCAGGGGCTGTGGTTGCAGACACGGCGGGGCAGGGCTGGTGTCTGGGGTTGAGGTGGAGGAGGTGAGAGCTGGGACGAGGGGCTCAGGGGGTTGTGGGTACAGAGGCCTGACAGCTGCTTCCTGGGGCAGGGGTTGGGACGCAGCCAGGCTAGACACTCACCGCCACCACCTGGCCCTTGCGGGGGTCGATGATGCGCAGGGTCTTGTCCTTGCAGGTGGTGGCTAGCAGCCTCCCATTGCTGTTCCAGCACACGCTGTGGATGACGTCCGGGTGTATGTCGTCTAGACTCAGAAGCACCTCCCCAGTGCCCACGTTCCAGATGATGATCACATTGTCACCACCTGCCCAGAATGGCCAGGCACCGTCACCTGGCCCTGCCTTTGCCACTCCCCACACCCCCCGATCTATGGTAGGGACCCCTCCCTAGGCCCCCAGACCTGCACTGAGCAGGACATTCCGGGCAGTGGGGTGCCAGGAGAGGATGCCCACACGTTTGGAGTGGCCCTCGAGTGTGAGGATGGGTTCTGTAATGTTGCGCATAGGGGTATAGTCTGGAATCTGCCACACCTAGATAGAAGGAAAAGGCATAGGGTAGGTGGGGTGAGGAGCCCACTTTGTCACTCTGCTCTTCCCTTACTTCCCCCACCCCCCTTCCCCAGGGTCAAGTGCAGGACAAGATGTGATGGTGCCCACATGGGGCAGAAGCAGCTGGGAGCCAGGAGGTGGCACTGTCAGCTTTCCAGAGACCTGCCTACTCACAGGAGCAGGGAGACTTCAAAGCACTGCCCCCCTGCTCTTCAGGCCCCAAGGTAGCCATGGCTAAAATTAGTCCTAAGCAGTTCATCCTGGGAGGGGGCGGACATGTAGCTAAAAATAGCCTGGGAGCTGGACAGGGCAGGGCCCTGGAACTCAGCACCTCCCTCACCACCTTCTGCAGCACAAGCGAGGCAGCCCTCCCTGCTTCCCCTGCCCAACAGCCCAGCAGCATCCGCCTGGCTCCTACCATGATGGTGGTGTCATCGGAGGCACTGGCGATGACGTTGTCATTGTGTGGGCACCAGTCGATGTCCAGCACAGGGGCAGTGTGCCCAGTGACCAGTGGGTAGTTCTTATCCACTCGCCCTGTCTGCAGGGGTCAGAGAGGGAGATGTGGGGCCACTGTCCTGTGTGTTTTCAGGGGGTGGGGAGTGGATCTGTTTACATCTCAATTCTCTATTTTCTGTTTTCTCTTTGCAGAACCCACCCCCTTTCTGCTCTTCCAACCCCATCCGGCCCACTTCCTCTACTTCACGGAAGACAGAGTTGAAGTCATTTCACATCAAGGAATCAGACACAGAGAGGTAAGATAACTTAACCAAGGACACACAGCAAGATACTGGTAGAGCCAAGACTTGACTTAGTCCAGCGCTCTTCTAAAAACATCTACTTGGAGGAGACTGTTCTTGGGCCTGTTCCCCCAACTGAAATGTCCAGGGGAAGCCCCTGGTGGAATAGGTCAAGGTAAGATGCAATGCAGTGCTTGACAGTCCTTTCCCAGCCACAGTTGGCAGATCTCCCCCTTGTCAATGGCTTTACCTTGGAACCACAAGCAGCAGGCATTCCTTGTGCCTGCCGTCTCCCAACCTGAGCTGGGGCCCATCTATTTTTAATCTTTATGGTATGTTTGTGGGGGCTCTGAGGCCTTTGCAGGGGCTGGCATCAACCCAGACCAGGCAGTAGGGGAGAGGGGTGGCCGTGTGGCATTGGAATGGCACTTGTACTGGGGGAGGAGGTGGCTCCAGCTGAAATTTGAGCCCAGGGGATGATGTCCTTGGATGGTGTCTGCATTGTCCTGGAGTGAGTCACTGGCTATTGCCAGGCCTCATCCTGACCTTGCCACCTGTGGGGCCTCCCCTAACAAGGTGTAGGAGCCGGAATCCAGGTCAAGGTCATGCCTTGGAGTGGCCATCCTGTGGGTAGAGATGGCTGAGGGGCTTGAGGCTACTCAGTAAAGGTGCTGGTCATTGCCTGGCCCCCATCCCTGGAGTAGAGGGGGCTCTGGCCTTATATGTCATGTCCCCTGGCCCTTTGCTCTCATTCTGCCTCACTGCAAGAACCAGAATGGGGGAGATGGCCAAGAACTCCTTAGATAGAGCCTGACCCTGTCCTCAGTGTGCTGCTCCGGGGTGTGATTTAATCCAATGCTCACCCTGGGCTGCGTACAAAAATCCTGACACCAAAAACATAAGGGGTGTGGCATCAGGAGAGATAGGAACAGAATCTGGCCAGGTTCTGTCTCCACTGCTTCCCAACTATCCATCACCCGCTCCTGGTCCCTGCTGGGAACAGGGTGCTGCATGGAGAAGGGATGGGCTGTGAGTAGGTGGGGGCCGATGTGATGCTGCTGTTCTAGGAGGGGTGACAGAGCCTCCCAAGTGGTCCCTGAGTGATTGGGGAGCAGGGAGCAGTCAGTCCACATAGACTGCCCTCCTGACTGAGGAATGGAACTAGGTGAGAACACAGGCTGCTATCAGGAGTCCCCAGGAGTCACAGCCAGTGTCCTCCACCTGCTTCCCTCCCCTCATCTCTCACCTTGGCCAGAGGCAGGACGATGAAGGCACCTCCACCTCCAGCCTCCACAATAATGGCCAGGAATTTGGGGTTGACGGCACAGAAGGAGCTGTCCCATGTGACCTTGGACACACGGATGTCCTCGTAGGCCTGGTCAGCCTTTGCTGCCTGTCCAAACACATGGCGGAACTTGCTCTGCCGAACCACGCGCCGGCTCATAGCTGGGGGGAGAGATGGAGGATCTCGGTGCCCAAATTTTGGTCCTTAGTCCCGTAGCTGTGGGAGGGAGGGAGGAAGAGTTGGGGGAGTGGCAAGTGAGAAGGGTTATCTGACCAAGAGTCAGCTATAAATTAATATAGAGTCTGGTCCTAGAAGCAGGGAGTTTTCTTCAAGGTGATGTATGGGAAAGTTCTTTGCTTAGTTCGAGGGGCTAGGATTTGGGGCCTGACTTCTCCTTAGAGAGCCAGGCTGGGGGGACAGTGGAGCCTGACTGGGCCTGAAAGCTTCCTGGAAGTTGAAGTGGTTTGGGGAGGAGCCTCAATGCCAGGCTGCCCTCCCGCTGCCAGGCTTGGATGAGCATCTCTTCACGGAAGTGGTTTATCTCCCAGAGGCATCTCGTCCAGAATCAGAGGCTTTGGCTTAAGGCCATTTGTGGGGCTAGGACTGCAGCCACTCAAGATCCTAAACTCAGCATCTGTGGCATAGTTTAGGTGGATGGGGTTTTGCCTTTTTCTAAAAATCTGCCAAGGAGAAGTTCCTCCTGCGAGCTCACCTGAGTTCTTCCTGCTACTGTTTTCATCATTTTCCTCCCAATTGGTCCCTGAGTGATTGGGGAGCAGGGAGCAGTCAGTCCACATAGACTGCCCTCCTGACTGAGGAATGGAGCCTCCCAATTGGTCCCTGAGTGGGGGGGGGCACAGTGTAAGGTGGATCTCTCCTCCTCCCACTTCTCTCTGCACTGGCTTCTCTAAGAGGCCCTCACCACTGTGTTCTGGCTTTTGCCGGCCGTATTTCAGCCCCACTTCTCCTCTGGGTCCTCTCTCCTACTAAATTCTCTTGGGGGTGGGGTCCTCGACCCCCCCTCCCCTCGGCTTAGAGCCAGATTTTCAGGAGTGGAGTAGGGAGGGCGAGGTGCCTTTTCTCCCGCTTGGGGCTTGAGCTAAGCTCTTCCCCAGGAGACACACCGAGCTCTTCCAAAGCCCCAGCGACTGACTCCAGCCCCTCCCCAGCCCCGGGCATCCTTGTGCCCTTCAAGACGCTTCTGCGGCTCCCGGCCTGAGGCCCGGCCTCCCCGCACCCTTCTCCGGCCTCCTGCCCTGGCAGTGCGTTCTTGCGAGACGAGGTGTCTGCGCCCTGCGGGCGCGCGGGCCGCTGTTCGGCCAAATATAGACACCAGGTCCGCCCAGCCCGGGACCGAATTTGGCGGCGGGGAGGGGGGAGGGGGCGCAGACCTCTGTCCCCTCCAAACACCCCGCCCGCTTCACTGGCTGCGGTGGCGGCGGTGGGGGGGGTGGGTACCTGGTCCTGAGCCGGCCGAGGGGCGCTCACGCTGCGACTTCTCTGCGGAGGGGGTTGGGGCTGCGCTGGGGACCAAGGGAGGCGTCAGGGCACCGGAACTGCCTCTCCTGGTGTCCGCGGCGTCTGGGGCCCGGGCGTTCGGCTGCGCGCTCCGGCCTCTGCCTGCGACTCTCGGGGCCGGGCGTCGCTGCAGTCCCAGCTGCCGCTGCCATCAACCTGCGGAGGCGGACTTAGGGCAGGGGCGGGGTCACATAGGCCCCGCCCCCTCCAGCGGCGGGAAAGTCGAGTGCTGCAGACTCTGCGCGGCCAGTCCGCGGGCCTTCGAGAAGCGTCAAAAGTAATTCTGCGTGTGTGCGCCGGCTGTGCGCGCTCCTCCGCGCTCCGCGCCTAGCGGGTGGGCTGAGGAAGCCCAGGTTCCCAGACCCAGAGCTGGGCGCTGAGAGAGGGAGCCTACGAGGGGGCGCGCTCCCCTCAGAACCGGCGGCCGAGCAAGATCAGATGCCTTCACGCTGCATGCCTGCTGCAATCACACTCCCAATTTAGACCATACCGGCGGGCCGGGGCTGTGGGACTGCAGGTCCAGACACCCCTGAGGAGAGGTCCTGGAAGATGCTCTGGGCGCCCTTGGATGAGGGCCTAGGCTGGCCCAGGGCAGCTGTGAGGGTACCCGACAGGGGCCTGTGAATGTTGCTGTTATTAATAGCAATAGCGACCACTGACACTGTACTAGGCACTTCACCCCGTTAGAGAGGATTCCACGGAACAGGGCACAAAGCAGCCTAAAAACCGGTGATAGGGGTGTGGGAGGAAAAAAAAGTGAACACCAGGTTCAAGGGAAAGCGGCTGGCACGGGTCTTTTATTTTTTTTTAGATAAATTTATTATTTATTTTATTTATTTATTATTTTTGGCTGCATTGGGTCTTCGTTGGGTGGGCTTTCTCTAGTGGACACGAGGCATGTGGGATTTTCCGGGACCAGGGCTCAAACGCATGTCGCCTGCATTGGCAGGTGGATTCTTAACCACTGCACCACCAGGGGAGCCCTGGCACGGGTCTTTTAGACACTCAGCCTGACTCCTAAAGTCTTGAGGGCCTTGTTTGAATTGGTGCCCGACTGTGTTCCAGGGAAGCCCCTGCCCCCTCCCACTCCCTTCCAGACCCGCGGATCTGAGTATTGACCAGCGTTAAGGAGGAGACAAAAAGAAACCTGATCAGAATGCAGCCAGTGAAGAGCTAGTCCCTGTAGCTGCTGTCTTTCCAGTGCTCACCCACTGCCTGGATTTCTTCCTTTGGATCATAAGGCCCTGGAGAGCAGCAGGGGACCGGTTATTACTTCTCACTCTCCAGGACACACCTGGAAATCAATGGAACACAGCCTTCCAGAGGGTAGAGATTAGCATTGGGGGTAAAGGGAGGGAAGGTGGTGGGAACCTCAAAGGCCCTCACAAGGCTTGTTTCTCAGGAAGAGTCCAAGTATTCAGTGGCTTGTGGGGATCAGAACCAGAAACTGTTACAGGTGCCCCAGAGATAATTATGGCGTTGGTGGGGGGGGGGCATGAGGGTAGATGAGGAATCTCCCTTTTACCTGAAGATTCCAGGCACATGATTAGGAGGAAAAGACCTGAGTGACTCAGTAGCTCCTTAATAACAATAGCTAGACACTGTACTCAGGGCTTTACACATATTAATTCCATTCTGATAATAGTCTTCTGAGATGGGTACCATTATTACCCCTATCTTACAGGTGAGGAAACTGAGGCACAAAGAGGTTAAATAGCTTTTGCGTCACTCAACTGGTAGGTAGTACAGCTGAGATTCTTACCCAAGAGGTCTTGTGTCTGTGTCCAGCTTTTCAGCACCATGCATTTTTGTCTCTCCCTGAAGGCCACCTTACCTCACAAGTGCTCATATTGAAAGATACGCCGTGGCACAGAGGAAAGGATGCCTATGCTGATTACAAAGCTGGAGTTTCAGCCGTTGCTCAGTCACCCTATTTTTTCAGCTTTTCTGGGCTGTAAAGCGAAAAGGGCTGGGTCAGGTGCTTTTCAAGCCTGCACCACTTGTTGGCAGAGAAGGGATTTGACATGCTGTCTCCTACCCTGAAACGGCAGTTTTTCTTCTCCCATCTCCTTTTCTCCTCTTTAAAGAGAGCCAGGTACTCCATTCTAGAGGTAAGGGTCTGGGACTAGGAAGCAGGAATCCTTTCTTTCCCTCCCTCCCTCCCTTCCGTCCATGTTTGGCTGCGTTGGGTCTTAGTTGCTGCACGCGTGTGGTGCGTGGGCTTCTCATTGTGGTGGCTTCTCTTGTTGCAGAGCACCGGTTCTAGGCATGCGGGCTTCAATAGCTGTGACACACGGGCTCAGTAGTTGTGGCTCGCAGGCTCTAGAGCGCAAGCTCAGTAGTTGTGGCGCATGGGCTTTGTTGCTCCACGGTATGTGGGGTCTTCCCGGACCAGGGCGCGAACCCGTGTCCCCTGCATTGGCAGGCGGATTCTTAACCACTGCGCCACCAGGGAAGCCCAGAAGCAGGAATCCTTCAATCCATTCTGCCTTCAGTTCCATGACCTGGGTGGGGGGGTGGTTGCTCTCCAGGTACAAGAGCAGGAACTTACAGGTGTTGTTTAGAGCTGGCATGGCTCAGCCCTGCCCTCTAGCCTTCTTCTGGCTGCCAAGGCCTGGCAGAGCTGGGGGTAGGTGGAGCCAAGGCACAAAGAGCCAATCAGTGGAAGAAGCTACTTGGACTTGGTGCTTTCCCTTGCTGTTATGCATTTGAACTGTTACCCATCTGAATAGCAATCCATAAAGGATAGGCGTAGACTTCATCTTTCATAAAGCCATTTTCTGGAAGAGGTGGCCTGGCAACTTAGACATGATTTGGTCCATTTGCTTTGGCTAGAAAGCCATGACTGATCAGGGTCAGGGACTCCAGGCACCCCTAGAATATTTTGTGAAATGACCTTGCCTTCACCATCATGCACTCTGGCACTCCAGCCAGAGACCAGTGGTGTGCCCGTCTCATTTGATATGGACGATCCAGACTGAAGCAGGCTGACTTAATTTTAGTTCAAGGCAGTGTTTTCTCTGGAAACTGAGCTTTCCCTAGATAGTAGGGCTGCTTTATATGTGATGGATGGCACCACTAAATATCTCATGATGGGTCTGTGGAGGGGTGGGAGAAGTGGAGACCCCTCCCCCCCAGCCTGTTTTTGTTTGTTTTTGTTTTTGGCCATGCCGCAGGGCTTGCGGGATCTTAGTTCCCTGACCAGGGATTGAACCCGCGCCCTCGGCAGTGAAAGCACGGAGTCCTAACCACTGGACCACCAGGGAATCCGCACCGCCCCCCCGCGCCCGTTTTAGGGAACTGCTCTTTGGCCCCATCTCTCTTCCTCTACCACTGACATCAAGTGTTTCTCTTCCCTTCTAATGATGGGAGAGGGTTAAGCTTATACTTCTTTGGAAAGTCATGCCCTGTTTCTAGAAACCTTTCAGTGAACTGAGGTGCCTTGTGCCGAAAGCTTGTGAACTCTATCTTGTTAATGTCCAGAGAAGTCACCTACCCAAGAAATCCAGTCTCTGCTGGGGCGCGTCGCGGCAGCTGTCCCAGAACACTTTGTACCACAGATGGTGGCGGAATTTTGGTCCCTTTGCTTATTCATTCTCCTAACATTCAGGTGGTGGCTTTGGCAAGAGCCTCTTTGACCAGGCAAGTTCCCAGCGTGGTCACTTGATTGGAGCCACACTGTCTGAAATAATCTTTAGTGATCCCATTTCCCATTCAGTCTTCATTTTGTGAGAGGTAGAAAGTTATATTTTTTCCCAGAGCTCAGCTCTCTCCTAAGGGAGGGAGATCAATCAATGGGAATTGCATCATGTTTACCATCAGTGTTCTCTTCCAATTCCTCCACCTTTAAGCAACCCCCTCTTTTGTTGCACTTGATCAAGTACACGTTTCATCTTCAAAATAAAAATTTATTCAATCTGTAACAAGAACATTGAATCTGCACGTTTGCGCACAAGTTCACATTTAAAAACAGCGGAGCACATCAGTAATAAAAAAACCTATGATACAAGTGGAACATCCCAACCACCAGGAAGATTAAGGAAGGAGATGAGACCACTCTTTATATTCTGCTTCAAATGCCTCAAAAAGGTCCCAGAGATTCCAGGGAGCACCTGCTTTATTTAATAAAATGTGAGCATAAAAGTTTGGGGTGGCCTGGGGCAAAGGTAACAGTCAGTGGGAGAGTCTTTTGGACTTGTTTTCTACATTTAGAACAAGTCCTACAAAATTAAAGTAGAAAGAAAGAAAGAAAAGGCACCTTAAGCTATGCCAAGCAAACCAAATTCCCATAAAACATAAAAACCAAACAGTTCCCTGTGGGTTTACTGATTGGGAAACATTTCAGGGCCAGTTACCCAGCTTCCAGACTGGGCCACCAGCTTGAGTTAAGCCCTGGGCATGCTCTCCACGTGTGGACAGGATGCTGCCACCAGTGTTGCTGTGAGGACACAGATGGCAGCACTCGTCATACACCCCTTGGGACATCTTCAAGCTGATGAGGGATGATTCCAGTTTAGAAATCCTGTCCCAGATCTCTGGGGCACTGAGAAAGTGAGGCTGGTTCTCTTTTTTCATAGCAGGAGCCAGGCGCAGGCACCCTCCACTTCCAGGCCAGAAAAGTACAGAAGCACCTTGCAATAGCTCTCTCCATGGCATCCAGGGACCCCAAGCCCTGGAGAAGGGTTAGGAGTGTGCAGCTTCCTGCTTTGGTAGCAGGAGGCTTTTTCCTGATATAGCCGTCGGATGAGTCGTGGCAGCAAATACACTTATGCCTAATACATGCCTTAATCTTTTAGTTTGGAAGGGAAAACAAATCCAAGATGTTTTTAAGTTGGATTGGTGCTGAAATAGCTAAAATTTCATCTCATCTACCATCAAAAAGCAAAACAAAATTAGACAAAAACGACACTAGCCATTCACCATTACAACCATCACTATAAGACACACCATCACTGAGGAAATGATGAATATTTCCATACAGAGTGTTGGATGGGAGTGCAAGACACAGATGGAAGTCAGCTCCAGGTTTTCCCCACTTACCCATAAGGCTGACCTTGCTCAGTGTGAGGACTCACAGGATGGCCAGGGCTGGGTGCCTGGAGGAGGAATCTGAGTGGCCATCAAGATGATGCACGTTTTAATATTCACAATGTAAACAAAATAT